AAGGATGCTGGACGTTGCCTGTAGATGGAGACTAAATGCACATGCAATTATTTGGTCAGTCTGACCAAGTGGCAAGAAACTTTGCTTGAGAGCTTGTACTTTCAAGTAGGAATGAGTCCGCTCTTGTCTGTAAAACTGAATGACTGAAATTGATATCAACCTGCTGGACTATTTGGTCGAAAGTTTCATTTGGGGACACCAAGAACGTTCTGACAACACGCCCCAATTAAAGGAACCACTTAGACTAGGACGGCTTAGTTCAAGCAACAGATCATGTTTTCGTGTGAGTTTGTATTGTAAACCGACACTTTGAGGATCATATATAAAATTATTTTTCATGCAACGTAACAGATTGCTGTAACCCCACTTATAGAGTTAAAATGGCAACTCTTTATGAGACCTTCAAAACTACCGAGCTTGATACCAACAGAGGTATGCTGCAGCGGATCAAACCTCAGATATCCTTCTTTGAAAAGACGCTTACGAATGAATAAAAACTTGGAAAAACTTACCATCTAATTAACTGTTCTGATTACCTACCATGCGCAAACTTCTGAGTGAGTTCGTGCGGGTTTTTCTTAATTTAACACAGTGTTCGAAATTGACAACAGCACTGCAAACAGTTGATGCACCCTAGAAACTTCATCATTTCCGCTGACAATGTTCCGATTCTATGTGCGATTATGAATCTGTACGGTCCTGGTCTTGCTTGTTGTTAGGATGCAAGCAGAGTTCAACCATCAGAGGACAGTAGTTTATTCGAATGCTTATCAGACCAGATTAAGCTTTTGAAGAGGTCCTGATAATGAATGGAAATCTGCGCGGAAGGGAACGGTTTGAACTGAACGAACGACTTGGTCCCTAGAACGATTCGTCAATGTGATATGCTCATGCATTGAACCGGGGAAGCTCACCTTCGTTGGGAGCTGTGTGGTCAACTCACACCGGTCACCCTTCGTACCTGGTGGACACAGGCAAGCAAAAGAACTGTTCTCCGTGTTTTCCACACAACTTCCGCCATTCAAACAGGGAGGTTCCATTTTCAGACCCAGCAATACTTGTTTCATTGCAACCATGCAAGGAGAAAGCCGTTGATTGCATCGGGATCCTGTCCAAAATTCCGTACAGTCACAGACAAAGCCATCTGATTCACGTTCGCTCTCCCGACAAATGCCGCCGTTTTGACAAGGCCTGCTAATACATGGATCGACCCTTAGCAGACAAGTTTCATCTGGAGAGAACAGGAAATTTATAACTTTAAAGGAATCCACGGACAAACAATGACTGCTTTATCTTCTCAACGGCGTAAAAGCTGAACCCATTCACTTCACAAACTCAGACCCATGAAGAAACAAAGACTAGACCTGGGGACATTCGCGTGGAGATGACAAAATTAGAGTACCTGTGTTCGAAGACAACAAGTTAGGTCTGTTAGACTATTTACTTATGGATTTTCTGCGTAAAATATCGCGTCAAAAAGTGATAGAAGTGTTGGGTTAAAAAACTCATCTAAAAAGTTAAATTAAGCTTTAGATAATCTAACTCTCCTTGCAGATGCACTTCACATATTCGCCATGTTTCGAGTGGCGGAAGTAAACCACACATATCAAGGGAACATTTTCTGGATCCTAGTAGCCGAATGTTAATCAAACAACGGAGAAGTTGAGACCAGCATAGGTTAGAACACCTTCAACGGTCTTGCACAAGTCGTTTACCTAATTTGTTCTGGCGATTTCGGACAACTTTGACTCGACCAAACTATTCGACATAGTTTTCCACATCACCGCTTGAAAATAGCTTCTCTTTCCTTTAAATTACGCATAATTATTTTTGAAGACAATTAAGCTTACAATGAATCGATGCGGTTTGAGCTCATCCAAAACCTACTCAAAGCTGCGGAATCACGTGGACGGTTGTTCACTTGAAGTACCTAGATATGACTGCCAGGGATTTCGAAAATGTCTTCGTTGAGTGCATTCAGTCGTGCTTCAGAGGATAGCAACGACCAATTTATCCAAGAGTCCTTGTCCAATTTTTCCCGGGAACGGTGGAGAAGATGGCAGGATGAACTGCCCGAGTAATTCATTGCCAGAGGTCAGCGAATAAAATGTCAGTCACGTCGTGGTTTTGGTCTGCCTCACTGCTGAGAAATGGCTTAGATTCACCTGTTAATCAAGTGACTCTCTTCTCCAACGGCTTCAAATTTTGCCCAATCCGAAAAACTGAATCAAAATGGCGCTTCAATCCTCTGGGTGCAGTCTACCTGTATGGAAAGCTTCCAATCTTTTACGTACCCTTCAGAATTCACTTTTTCGTCCGTTAAAACCAATTATACTCATGTGAACACTCATATCTTTTGAAAGCTTTGCTTGTTGAAGCATTTCACCACTTCATCGAAGTCAAGTACCTGTTTTTTATCTAAAGAAATCTACCCAGTTAGAAACTTTCGCGATCATCCTGGTTATTACAAAGTACAAATTTTGTTTCTAATTAATCTGTGTTGTGATGCGCCTGTCTTATATAAGACCTATTGAAACAGAACAGCATATCTGGCATGAGGAGTGAACCCCTTCATCAAACGACTGGTTCTTTCGATTCTTAGTGTCCTCAATTTCTCAGAAAGTGGGAAACTTCCCTCCTACTGAAATGTCCCCCACTAGCTAACTGAGACGACTTACCTTTTTCATCACATATACAAGTTCTTTCACTACTATCCGGTTTAGTAACACACGTAGAGTTTCCAGGACACGGGTTTACTACACACCAGTCTACCCGATCACACAGGACGCCAGAGTAACCTGAATTGGAAAGATAAGCGAATCGAGCTAAGCGGTGAGTTATTTAGAAAGCTATAGAAACGGAGTTGAATTTCAGACATACATGTATACCGGGAATATTTTTAGACAGCTTGAACAGTTCAACTCTGTCCTGTACAAGGGCCGAAATCCAACACTTCCATAAAAGATTTTGAGCCATTAAATCATACGAATCGCACCAAAAATACAAAAAGGCGAAGAGCTTTGATGCCTTTGGTGCTCAGCATGCACCAGTAGTGAGCAAACCATATAAAAGGATGTATGGAATAGCGTGCTGTGTGTAGGAAGCCAAAAATTTACGATAGATGAAAGCCTCAATGTTCACAAAAAAGATTCCCTCAAAACAGCCAAGAGTCTTTACTGT